TGCCTGGCCCCAGGGAGGCAGAGGGCTAGTCCGGCTGCCCCAGAGGAAAGCCAGGCCGCTGGTTGGTGGAGCCCCTGGCCGGGCTGCAAGCCCACCTCTTGCCACGTGGGGCGCTGTGGTCACAGGCCGCCCCCCTGGGCTTCCCCTGGCTGTGCCCAGGGGCTGGGGAGGGATGAGAGCTGATGGGGGGGGGGCAGAGCCAGAGCCCCCATCTGCCTGGCGGAGCCTCCAGCAGCCTCCAGGGTCCTCCGCAGATCCCGCTGTCCTCCCGCCTTGGGGGCAGTGGGCTGCCAGCTCTGAGAGGCCTGACCCCCACGGGGGGCTGTCGTGGCTGGCCCGCCTCCCCGGCCGCCTCCAGGCCATGCCCCAGGCCCTCTCCCCACTGGTCCCCGCACTGTGCGGCTGGGGGCAGCGTGCCCCGACCATGAAGGTCGGGGCTTCCTGGCCTCAGAGGGTCACCTGTTCAGGGGAGCTGTGGGGCTCTCCACCCACGGCCCAGCGCCTGCTGGAAAGCATCTGCTGCAGGCCCTGAGCGCCAGGCACCCTGCAAAGTGCTGGATGGGCCCTGAGGTCACGGGTCTGCAGGTGCCCGCAGGGGGTCATGTCCCGGGGGTCGGCCACAGCCCTGTCCAGCAGCACTGCCGCCAGCGGGCCCAGCAGGCTGGTGTGGCTGCGGGCGTGGCGTGGAAGGGCAGGGGCTGCGGGGGAGGTGGAGCCAGGACAATTGGGAGCCAGGGCAGGGCTGGTGCTGGGAGGGTGCTGGGTGGGCTGTCCCAGGGAGACGGGAAGGGCCTAGAGCGGCCTGTGGGCAGCAGGATGTGGAGGGGCAGGTGCTGAAGAGGCGGGGGTGGGGCAGCCTTGAACACCAAGGCCGTGAGAGGACTGCAGATCCGCGTCTCCTGGAGTGGCCACCCACCCACTGGACAGTGGGGGACGGTCCCTGAGCTGGCCAGGCTGCGGGTTTGGGAGTCTGCACAGCAATGAAGGCCTTCGGGGACCCTGGGGTGCCCGCTGTCCACAGCCCAGCAGCAGCAGCGTGCACAGTGGGGGAGATGGCCAGGGGTGGGCGACCTGGCCCTGACTGCCCCAGGGCAGGCTGAGGTGAGACCGGGGAGCCAGGGGCCACCAGGTAAGGCCTGCTGGTGGCCCAGGGTCAGCACAACTCCTCAGCGTGCCGGAGCCCTGTGGGCCCCCCACTGTTACACCCATGCTTGGAGAGGGGTGAGCTGGGGCTCCTGGCCTGTGGGGAAATTCGGGCTGGGGCGGCCCTGAGGTCTGGGGTTCCAGCCTGCTCTGCCCTCGGTGCTCACGTGGCTCGTGTGAGGGATGGAGTGGGCAGGGCCTGGCCCAGCCCATGGCAGAGCAGGGAGGCCCTGTTCCAGAACCCTCTCTGTAGGGTAAGACAGGCCAGCAGAGCTGATGTGAAATCCCGGCTCCCTCAGGGCGCGAGGGGGCCACAGATGGGGTGGGGTGGGGCGGGTGGAGCTGCAGCTCACGGGCACCCCTGGAGCAGATGAGAGGGTAGCCCAGATGCTGGGGGGAGAGGCATGCGCCACTGCCCATGCACCTGGCCGCAGGGGCAAGGCCGTGGCCCCGGGACTCTTGCAGGGGACTGGGCTGCTGGCCTGGCGGGGAGTGGGGGTTCCCCAAGCACTTTCCAGGAGCCCCTGCCCTCAGGAGAGCCAGGCGCCACTTGACGCCTCTGCTGCGCCCCCAGCCCGGCTCCTGCACAGGTCGGGGAGCAGGCCCTGGGCACAGGAGCCCTTCCCCATTCTGGGCAGCGTGCCCGGCCGGCCACAGCCCACGCTCTGCACCCCACGCGGCCATCAGCCACAGGCAGCAGGCCCCGCCGGACAGATGGCGCCAGAGCGGCCAGAGGCCGGCCCTGGGCCCCCAGGGGACAGCTCGGTCTGCTTCCTCTGTGGCACCACCAGCCACTGGGTCACCCTGTCACTCTGGCCAGAGTCGGCAGCTCCTCCCTCCCCCTGGGGCGCCAGGCCCTCCGACGCGCCTGCTTTCCTCTGGGTGCCCGTCCGCGGTGCTGCCCTGGGCCTGCCCGGGCCTTGCTCCCCAACACTCAGCCCCTCCCCTGCACGGCCCCCCGCCTGGCGGTGCCAGCCGGGCCCAGGGGGTCCCTCAGGAGGAGGAGGGGGAGCTGGAGCCCACCCCCACCCCCGCCCTCGTGACACGCCCCACCCCCGGGGATCCGGTGTCCCCGGCTCAGCACTTGTATTTATAGCTCTGACCCCGCCTGGAGGGGGGGCGGGCCCTGGGGTGCCGGGCGCCTGGGGCCGGGGGTGCGCGGTGGGGCGGCCGCGGGGGTCGGGCCGGGCCGGAGCCCGCGGGCGCCCGGGCGGGGGGGCGGGCCCCGCGGCGGGGAGGGGGCGAGGGTCCCGGGGCCGCCCGCACCTGGCAGCGGCTGACGATGTCGGCGTCCGCGGCCAGCAGGTCCACCACCTTGCCTTTGCCCTCGTCCCCCCACTGCGCGCCCAGCACCACGGTCACCCGCGAGCCGCTCGCCGCCGCCTCCTGCTGCAGCCGCCCGCGCTTGACGCCGCCCGCGCCGGGGGGCCGGTCGTTGGAGGCGCGGGTCCCCGACATGCCGGCTCCCGGCCGCGCGCGCCCGCGCCATTAAAAGGAGGCGCGGGGGGGGGGCGGGGGGGCGGGGCGGGGCGGCCCGACGCCCCGTGACCTCGCCGGTGTCCCGCCCGCCGCGCGCTCCGCGGCCCCGCCGGCCCAGGCCGGGCTCGGAACCTGCGGGGCCCCTCGCGGGCGGGCGGGCGGGGTGCGCGAGACCGCGCGGGGCGCGCCCTGGGGGTGCCGCCTGCCCCGCAGGGAACCCTTCGAGGTGCGCGCCCGCTGGGGGCGGCGGGAGGACGGCGTGCCCCCCATTCCCCCGCCGCGCCCCCCACCCCGCCCCCGGGCAGGGCAGCCCCCCCCCAACCCGCTGCCCTCCTGCCTCGGAGCTGGGGCCCTGAGCCGGGCGGAGGGGCGAGCGCTGCGGGGCGGGGCTGGGGGCCAGGGAGCCGCGCCGGGCCTGCACCCCGGGCCGCGGGGCTGGGCGTCGGGGCGCGCGCTGGCCCCCTGGCACTGGCCGCGATGCCGGCTTCCTCCGAGGCTCGGGGTGCCCGGCGCCCCAGCCACGCCCGCTGGAGGGCTCCCTGTGGGGGCCCTGGGAGCAGCCTGCTGGCCTCTGGGGGTGCTCGGAGAACCCTCGAGTCCTGGGACTTCCAGGCCAGACACTCCCGGCCGCGGGGTCCTGGCCGCCTCCCACCAAGGGCACTCAGGGCCGAGGACCCAGCCGAGGTCCCCTTCCCCAGGGCCCCCACCCCGCCCCGGGGGGAACCAGCGAGCCCCTCCCTCTTCCACACAGGACACCCACAGTTCCTCTCCCTTCCCCTGAGGCCCACCTGGGGTGGGCGGCAGTAGGGAGTGCGCACGCCTGTCCCGCGTGGCCCCAGGAGGTGGCCTGAGGTAGGCTGAGGATGGGTGTGCTGGCTGGGCCAGAGGGACTGGGGGTTCAGGGAGGGGCTGGGGTTGGGGGGCTTGGGGCCTGCAGCTGGCGGTGGAGACAGGGCAGGGGCTGCAGGGGTCTGTGGGGGTGGGGGACGCGGGTCTGGCTGGCCCACCAGGAGCCATGGGGAGGACCTTGTGGGACTCACAGTGAGGAGGGGGTGCGTCCTTCTGTCCCTCTGGGGTGGTGCGGACAGGGGGACACTGGCTCTGACCCTTCTGGGGTGACCCGGACTCTGGGCCAGCAGGTGGGAGAGCGGCCCTGGACACCGTGGGCTTTCACGGCGCGCAGGACTGGTGCTGGCCAGGCACTGCCCCTATAAATAGCCAGCGGGCCCGGGCGCCCAGCTCCTCCGTAAACAGCCCCGAGCGGCCACAGCTGGGGCTGCCAGTCACAGGCCTGCCCTGAATTAGAGCCCCCCGCCCCCCACCTGCAGCGTGTGATCCCGGGCGGCTGGCCCTGGGGCGCTGTTCCCTGGACAACTGCAGGGTCCCCAGCCGGGCGCCGGGAAGAAGGCGCAGCTGCTGGGCGTGGGCAGCGGTTTCGTTAAAGTTACCCTGAGCTCAGCGCTAGGGGCCGAGCCCCCCACCAGGCCTGCGTCCCCAGAAAGAGCAGCCTGGGAGGCCCCCTGCTGCTGCCCAGAGAGCCCCGGGGATGGCCAGTGACCACCCAGAGGTCCTGCAGCGAGTCAGGGCCAGACGGCACATTCGCACACACACTCACAGACACACACGCCAGCCCCCCACCCCCAGCATCTGGAAGAGGCCGGGCGGCCGACTCGGGAGCGGAGGAGGGTCCTGGCCCCACCTCGAGGAAGTGTCCACAGGACGAGAGTGTCTGTGGGGCAGGCCCGGGCCGGGCTGTCTGGACGCGGGCAGGCGTGGGGAGAGCGGGCACTGGGCGCCGGGAACTTCCAGAGTCTGACACACGAGGTGCAGCGTGGCCCAGAGCTGCCCCTGCGGCCGCTTCCTGCCAGCTGTTTGTGCTCCGCCAGCCGGAGGCTCAGACCCGCCCGCCTCCTCCACCCGCCCCTCCCCGCGCGAGTCACTCTGTCCACTGCCGCCTGCTGCTGCATCATCACGCCTGTGGGGGGCAGCGCCTGGTCGATGGGCTCTTTATTGTGTGCAGCCCCTTAGGCGGGGCCAAGGGCAGGGCCTGGGCGGGTGGCGGGGAGGGTGGCGTGAGAGTAGGTGAGATTCCTCTCCGCCCCAGGGGGCCTCGGCTGGGGGACAGCAGGGCCCAGATGGAGGTAGGAGCGGCGGGCGGCAGGCGGGGCGAGGGGCCAGGCCCTGATGCGGGCGGGCAGCGGGCAGCACCCCTGCCCCAGGCTGCACATGCTGGAGGGGCTGGCTGCAGGGGCCCCGCTGCCTGCTGAGTCGGTGGCCTGGTGCCCAGGCGAGGCGGCCAGAGCGCAGCAGACACCCCAGTCGCCTCTGGGCTCGACGCTGGCCAGCTCCAGCCCAGCAGGCAGACAGCGGGGCGCGGGGTGGGCAGGTGTGGGGAGGGCCGTGTGCACCCCTGCTGGGTCCCGGGGCTCTCAGAGCTGCTGGGGCTTGTGGGGGTCTGTCCCCAGCAGAACCTGGCCCCTGGGTCACCTGCAGAGCCACGTGAGCAGCCCCGCACAGGATGCCCCAGCGGCGGTAGCGGGTGTGCAGGTGCGGCTGGGACAAAGCAGACAGGAGGGCTGGGGTGCAGGGTCTGGGGCGCCAGGTGGCCTGGCCAGTGCCTGTTGGGGTCCCGTCCACCACACGCTGGGGGACCAGAGGGCCCAGCGCTGCCCAGGTCCTGGCCAGGTAAGGCACGGAGTTCTGGTTTCTGAGGCCGGTGCCAGCCCGGCACGGGAGCCCTGCGCAGCGGCAGTCCCGTGGCCCCGTGTGCCCAGGCCGGGCTCCCTCACTTGGCTCTGGGCTTGGGCCTGAGGCCTGTGGGAGGAGAGGAAAGGACCCATTAGGGTGACTGCAGCCCAGTGAGTGGCACTGTGCCCCCACACCCCAGGAGTGGAGCCCAGGCCGGGAGGCAGGCGTGGGATGGCCTGGCCCGCTGGTGCAGGCTGTGTGGCGGGCTCTGCCTGGCTGGGGCCCACTGTCCCCTGTGCCTTCCGCTGCCCTGCAGGACCCGCATGCTGAGGCGCCCGCCCGCCCTCCCCTAGCTGGGGCCCGGGGCCCAGGACCCACTAGCTGCAGGGCCGGAGGCGCTCACAGAGCTGGACTGTCTGCATCGCCCCTTAGCCATGTGGCCGACCACAACACTGACCCCCCGGCTGAGTCAGGGGAGCAGCGGGGTGCGCCCAAGGTGATACTGTCAGCACACAAGACAGAGGCTGCGCGTGGGGTCCTGGGCAGAGTCTTGCTTCCAAAACCCCAACTATGAAGGCGGAGGGGCAGCTGCACCCGTTTTGGGGGACACTGCACAGACGCTGGCTCACTGTCCCCGACTCCCAGGCGAGGGCCGGCCGGGGCCGGCCCCTAAGGACACGCAGTGCTGTGACCCGAAGGTGGAGGCCCCCACAGAGCTGCACTCAGGGCCGCTGGGTGGCACCAAGGGTGAGGCCGCCCTGACGGCAGGATGAGCTGCGGCACAGGCACCGGCTCCTGCCCACACTGCCTGCTCGCCAGGCCCCTCTCTGCTAGCAGGCTGGCAGGGGCTGCCTGGGAGGCACGCCGGGGCGTGTCCCAGCTCCCAGGGCTCCCTGGCACTGGGCGCGTCTTCCTTCGCCAGCGGCTGCTGACCTGTGCCCGCGCAGACCCCACCCTCCTGCCCACAGAGTGGTCCCAGCAGCTGGTGCCTGGGCCTGGTGGCATCTCAGGCTCACGCAGACTCAGAACCTGCCTCCGCGGCGGAGGCCCACCTGGGGCTCCGGCTGGCCCACTCTGACCCTGGTCCCGCCCTAGAAAAGCCCCTCGGCCTCGTGGACTGGGGTGGGCACGCCGGGGCCAGAGGCTGCTGGTCCTTGCACACAGAGCGTGGGGTCCTGAGCTAGCCAGGCTCGAGGCGGGCACCTCCGGCATCCCGCAGGCCCAGGGCCACATCGCCTGCCCCCAGCCTGGGCCTCGCCCACCCACCCCTCAAGGCCGGCAGCAACTCCCAGGCAGCGCGGAGGCGCACACCCAGCAAAGCAGGCTCCGGCGGCAGGGCTGCGGGGATGGCGGCCGCCACCGGGTGCGGGGGGCGCTGAGGGACGCGCGTTAGTGGGCGGACGGCAGCGCCACCGTTAGAGCGAAGCGGGCGGCACCTACCTCACTGGATCTCACAGAACCTTTTTGTTTGGTTACCGTCGGGGTCGGGGCAAGCTCTGCTTTCAAATAAAAGAAACCCCTCAAGGGCGGCCCCTCAGGGGCACGGCGGGCAGCAGTGGCGCGGTATCGGGCGCCCCAGTGCAGAGGTGTGTCCCCGGCCTGCAGGGTCACCCCGCTCAGGGCAGACCAGGGCCTGCTGGCCCTCAGGGAGAGGCTTACGCGTGGGGCAGAGCTCGGCCCGTCCACCCGGCCCGGCTGGCCAGTTACCTTCTTGGCTCCGGGACGGACGCTTCTTCCTTCGCTTGCCAGCGCCCTTCGAGGCCCGCCCACGGGGCCTGGGGAGGCTGCCGGACCCCGAGGAGTCGGTCACCGTGTCCTCAGAGTAGGATCTGTCCAGGGACGTGTCCAGCGTGGAATCCGGGGCTGTGTCCTCCTCGTCCCCGTCGGGGAGTCCGGCGTCGTGGCTGGGAGTAGCCGTGTCCTCCAGCCCCTGGCCGGTGCTGTCCACCCGGGCCCGGCAGACGCCTCCCAGGGCTGTGGGGTTCTCAGGGTGTCGGCTGGCCTCGGGGAGGGGGCCGCAGGAGAACGGGAGAGGCTCCAGGACCTGTGTGTCACCCAGTACCCCCAACCAGGTCCCCGCAGAGGGCTGGGGACTCGGGGGGTCCTCCGGGGCCAGGACGTCACTGGCGTCCGTGTACCAGGAGGCCTGCCTCTCCAGAGGCGCAGGATGGCCCTCCTCCGACGGCTGCCCGGGCGGCTGTGCGCCAGGGGGGACGGCGTCCACGAGGTCCCAGGCGGGAGGCTCCCTGGCTGCAGTGTCCAGATGGGGCTCGGGGGCAGCAGGGCAGCTGGTGCCCCCTGCGGGGCCGCCTGCAGGTGCACTGGCGCTGGCTGTGGGCAGAGGAGTGTCGTCTGGAAGGGGCCTCCGGCCTCCACCTTTGCCCAGTGCTGGGGCCCCAGGCCTGCCCAGCGGCCTCCCGTGGGGGTCCCCGGGGCCACCTCTCCCTCCTGGCGGCTGGACACAGGCTGGAGCCCCGCGGTCCCGGGCGGCATGAGAGAGCTCCGCGAGGCGGGGCCTCCGGGAAGGGGCGGTAGGGGCGGGCCCTCACCTGGCTCCTCATCCCTCGGGGGGCCTGGGGGGGCCACCCTGCCGCCTGCTTCCGTGTCGCCCCGGCCACGGGCTGTCTTCCGCAGCTGGAAGCCCTTCCTGATGTCCGCCAGCAGGGCGTCGATGACACACACCTCCTCCTGCCTCCCGCCGCCCGGCCTGCCTGAGGAGCCAAGCCGCGGACCTCAGGCCCAGCCGGTGGCGGGGGCACCTTGCCCGGCTGGTGGCAGGGGCGCCTCGCCCGCCCGCCGCCCCCCGCCTGGGGCTGGCCTCACCTGGCTTCCCGGCCTCTTCCCGCGGCCGCCGCGCCTCCTCCTCCGCCAGCTGCTGCTTCCTGCGCGCGGCCTTCGCGGCCTGCTCCTTCCGGTCCTTGTTCTCCTGCGGGGGACACGCAGCCGTGACTGCGGTGCCGGCGGACGGCCCGGCGGGGACCCCACCCGCCGCGGGGGTCCCAGCCACCTTCAGGGCGCGGACGAAGAGGTCACGGAAGGTCTTCATGGTGCTGAAGGTCTCCTCCAGGCTCAGCTGCTGGGGGTCCTCGCACAGGTAGGCGGCCAGCTCCTGCCGCTTCTGCCCGATGGCCTGGAACACCTCGTCCAGCGCCTGGGAGGCCTGGATGCTGGCCTGGGGCACAGGGCTGGTCAGCGGCGGGGAGCAGGCAGGGCAGCCTCAGCCGCTCGCCTGGGTGGCCGCAGCTCCCCTCCCGGCCTGGACGCGGCGCTTGCCTGCAGGCGCTGGGCGTACTGCTCCTGCACCTCGGGGGCGGCGGCGGGCAGCCTTCGGGCCATGTCCTCCAGCCTCGCCAAGTTGGCGCTGGACTCGGAGCGCATGAGCTCCAGGTTGATCCTGAAGGCACAGGAGGGCCGGCGGGGTCAGGTGACAGGTGCGTCCACCTGGTGGGGACTCGCTTGTGCCCCGGGATGGCCCTTGCCTGTGCACGTGGGGCTTTGGGGTGGACAGAGTGGGAAGGGCACGTGCCCACACAGCCCGCGCTGGCCGCTGGTGTTGGCACAGTGGCCCTGTGGTTCAGCCTGTCCTTGCCTGACCTTCCACCAGGCCCAGCGAGAGCCTGCGCTGGGGGGAACACTCACCCGGCTGCCTGTGAGGGCCCCTCCAACTCCTGGGGTAGCTGCAGGAGGTCCGGGTGGTGCTTTTCCGCCTCCTGGAAAGACGGGCCAGTGAGCCCTGCGGCCACATCTGCCCCGGCGTGCCAGCCTGCCCCACCGCCATCCCTGCCCCTCCGCTCTCCCCACGCCCCTGGGAACAGCTGGGTCTGGGCTGCCTCGGCCCTCCAACCCTCCCCTGGGGCCTGGTTACAATTTTGTGACATTTTGCTTTTCCAGGGAGGCCCCACGATGGTGGGGGGGGAGGGTGATGGCACGCCAGGGCGCCCCAGAGGGACTGCGCGGGTGGGATGCAGATCTGTCCCCAGAGTGCCTGGCTGTACCCCAGATTGGCCCCTCCCCTCTCGACCCCTGGGTGGCCCCAGGCCCCACCCCATGGCCCCTAGCCTCAGCCCCCCCACCCCTCCCCTCCTCGCTCCCCACCTCCAGCACGTGGTGCAGCAGCGTCACGCGGCCCTGCTGGGACCTGGTCTCCGTCAGCTTGAGCAGCGTGCTCATCTTGAAGCCGGCTGCGTCCCCGGTGTGGCTGCCCTGGGGGTGCGGGGAGTGAGCCGGCCTGGGGTGGGGGGCAGGGAGGGGGCAGGAGTGAGGCCCCAGCCTGGGGGGCGGGGCAGAGCAACTTACGTAGTTGAGAAAGTTCCCGATTTTCAGGATCAGCTGGCAGAAGACGGGCAGCTGGCGGCTGGTGAGCAGGCCTGTGGGCAGGGGTGGGTGAGGGCGCGGCAGCCCGTGTGGGCTCTGGCCTCCGCTCTCGGCTCTTCCCGGCTCAGCGCAGGGCCAGGTGGTGGGGCGCCCCACGCAGGCGCCCCGACAGCAGGGCAGTTGGCCACCCCCGCTGCGGCCAGGGCGCCGAGGGGCCTCCGGAGCCTGCCTGGCCCCGGCTCTCTGCTGACCGTCCCGCCTGTGTCCAGTGTGTGTTTCCCGCAGGCATGCGCCGTGCTCGGGGGCCTGCTCGCCCGCTCGCCCCTCACTCAGGGGCGGACACGCCCGCCCTCCTGCCCCCCGTCCACTCACTCTCGCAGGCGGTGAGCACCAGCTGGGCCTTGGGCCGCACCATGTCCAGCACGACGGCCGTGCCCTCGCACAGCAGCATGCACTCGATGCGCAGCTGGTAGCTGGGGGCAGAGCAGGGGTGGTGCTTGCGGGGGAGGGGTCCCTGGGTCCCAGGGCAGCTTTGGTGGGGAGGGGCACTTCACAGGGGTGCCCTGACTTCCCAGGGGCACTCTCCTCCCTTTAGGAACAGGGGGGGACCTGGACTGCGGTGCAGGTACTCATGCTGAGGTCTGGCCACTCCCACCCCCTTGCTGGCCGGCAGGACCCCAGCCCCACAAGGGCCCCTCGGGAGGCCCCACAGCTGGTGGTTCCCCGGGAGGCCCTCCGCAGCCCCACCGGCCCCCGTCAGCTCCCCCCGCCAGCCCGAGAGCAAGCTCACCAGGGGATGCCCAGCAGGAGTGTGTAGAACTGGTCTGCACTGGCCAGCCTGGCCTGCTCCTCTGTGAATGAGCGCAGGTGCTCAACCTGAGGGGGGAGGCCGCCGTGGGGTTCCTGCCTGGACGCCGCACCCGGCACGCCTGGTCACCGCGGCACCCACTCACCTCGGAGCCCTGTGGGGCCGGCACCCCTCTGGCCTGCTGAACCCAGAGGGTCCGCTTACCTCGTGCTTCTCAGGAAGGAGCTTGAGGAGCTGCTTGAGCACCTCCACGTCGAACCTGGCGGTGTCCCCCGCCCGGATCATGGCGGCGATCTCCTGGTTGGAGCTTTGTGGGCAGAGGGACGGGCAGCCTAAGTCCCGCCTGGCCCCGCCCCCCTGCCAGCGGGCCCCGCCAGCCCTGCCCAGGCTCAGCAGGGCCTGCTCTCCCACCCCGAGGCCGCGGGCACCAGCAGGCCGCCCGCCCAGGGCCCAGGGCAGCGCCTTCCCAGGCTCCTCGGGCCTCTGCCTCCCTTCCAAGGAGCGGCTGCAGGGGGGGACACCCTGCGGGGAGGCAGAGCCAGCTCCTGGCCGGGGCCTTGGGGGCTCCCGGTCACTCTGTGGGTCTCAGTTCCCCCAGAAGCCTGGACCCCAGCCCGGACCCCAGGGCGGCGGGAGAGGGCGGGGCGGGCTCGGCACTCACCACTTGAACTGCTTCAGGAAGATGTTGAGGTGCAGGCTCTTCTTGGGGTCCAGGAAGGTGATCTGGAAAGCACGGCCCACAGCTGGCACCGGGGGCGGCCCCGGACCCCCGCCCCGGGCGGGCCCTACCTCCTTGGGCTCCCTCCGCGCGGGCGCGGCCGCGGGCTCCCGGGGCTTGGCGGCGGGGAAGGAGAAGAGGCGCTCGAGGCTGGCGAGGTCGGGCTCCACGGCGGCGGCGCGGGCGCTCGGCGCGGCCCACAGCGAGCGGTGCTCTGGGGGCGGGCGGGCGGGCTGGGTCGGCGGGCACCGGCGGCACCGGCGCCAAGCTCCGCGCGCGGGGTGCGGGGGCGCGCGAGGGCGCAAGTGGGGGTGCGGGGCGCGCGGGGGGGCGCGCGAGGGCGCAAGTGGGGGTGCGGGGGGGCGCGTGGGGGCGCGCGGGCGCGGGGGCTGGGCTGGCCCCGGACCACCCTGGGGCCAGGATCGGGTCCTCACCGCGGGCCACGCTGGACGGCAGCTTCTGCCAGTTGAGCTTCTTCATGCGCAGCGTGGGCGGGTGCACCCGCCGGGGCCGGGCGGCGGGGCCGAGCCCAGGCCGTGGTCCACCTGGGCCAGGATGACGTCCGCCGCGCCCCCGGGGGCGCCCCAGCCCACGCCGGGCAGGGGGGGCAGGGGGGCGGGGGGGGCGGGGATAGGGTCCCACCTAAGCCGGGCAGTGGGGGAGGGGGAGGGGGTGCTGGGGGACTGAGGCCCCCTGGCCGGGCAGTGGGGGTGGTGGGGGAGGGGGTGCTGGGGGGACTGAGACCCCCTGGCCGGGCAGTGGGGGAGGGGGAGGGGTGCTGGGGGGACTGAGGACCCCTGGCCGGGCAGTGGGGGAGGGGGAGGGGGTGCTGGGGGGACTGAGGCGCCCTGGCCGGGCAGTGGGGGTGGTGGGGGAGGGGGAGCTGGGGGGACTGAGGCCCCCTGGCCGGGCAGTGGGGTGGTGGGGGGACTGAGACCCCCTGGCCGGGCAGTGGGGGGGGGTGCTGGGGGACTGAGGACCCCTGGCCGGGCAGTGGGGGAGGGGGAGGGGGTGCTGGGGGGACTGAGGCGCCCTGGCCGGGCAGTGGGGGTGGTGGGGGAGGAGGGGGAGCAGGGGCGGGTGAGGTTGTTGGCGGAGCAGTCATCCTTGTCCCGGGGCTCTGGCTGCTGACCCCCTGCTGGCTGGAGGGGACGGCTGCGGGCTGCTGGCCCTCCACATCTGCCTTCCGGGTGCTGGAGCTTTTGGGGGAGCTGCCCCTTTGACTCTGCCCCAGGTCAGCTTGGACACTCTTGTGGGCTTTGTCCAGGGAGCTGGGGCGCAGCCGCCCCTTGATGGACAGGAGCCGCTCCGTCATCTCCTCCAGGGTGCATTCCTCCGCTGCGGACGGTGCGGGGAAGGGCGGTCAGCGGGGAGGGGGTGGGCAGCAGGGGGCTGGAGGCGGGCAGCAGGCTCACCGTCGCTGGCCAGGAGCACGGCCCGGTTCACCAGGCTCTCCAGGGCTGCCCAGAGCAGCTGGCCGGAGCGCAGGCCGGGCTCCAGCAGCAGGAGGCCCTGCAGCACGGACAGCAGCTGGGCGGACGCCGGCGAGCAGCTCACCTGGGGACATGGGCCGGTCAGCGGCCACCCTCCCGGGGTGCTCATCACCGTGCCTCAGTCTGCAGGGGTGTCCACCCCCCTTCCCCACGCCGGGGCCTGGTGATGCGCCTGCGTGGGCGGGTCCCGCCACGCCAGGTCACGGGGCGCCTGCGTGCCCAGTGGGCGGGTCCCTGTGGCCCGCGTCTCTGCCCACGAGACCAGCCGCGCTGCTGCCGACCCCTCGGACGGCCCAGCACGTCTCCAGTTGCTTCTGGACGCACCGGGGACGCTGACCCCAGACACTGCCGCTGGGCTCACAGGATGGGAGATTCCTACAGGAGCGTGGGCCGCAGGACTGAGCGCCCTGGCCCCCATGCCAACCCCCCACCCCCCGCCTCCCGAGCGTGGCCCAGGGCCTGGCCGCCCTGCCTGGCCCTGCGCCTCGGCCGCCGCCCACCTTGTGGAACAGGGAGGCGAAGACCTCCTGGTGGCTGCTCATGTCCACGCCGCCGCACACGCGCAGCAGCTCCTCCTCGTCCTCCGCCCTGGCCTCCGCGAAGGCCTCCAGCTGGATCAGCAGGTCGGCGTCCTCCAGCTCCCTGGGGTGGCGGGTGGCTGAGCAGACCCCCAGTGGTGCCCCCACTGCCCAGGGCTGCCAGCACTAGGCCTTAGGGTCCCCGCCCAGGAGAGGTGGCCGGGGCAGGTGGAAGGGAGGCACCCCCAGGCCTCCTGCAGGGCGGCTGGAGAGCAGGGGGTGCTTCAGGCCTCCCTGGGCCCAGCACCTGCCAGTCACCTTGGCCTGGCCCGGAACCATGCCCCAGCAGCCGGGACGGGCCCCTCAGCCCCACAGACCTGCCCCAGGGACCCCCAAACTGACTTCCCCGCAGCTTCTCCCCCCGGAAGTGGGCCTGCTGAGCCCAGGACATGACCGAGTGTGAACCCCAGAGGTGCACAGTGAGTTTCATCTAAGGGGGGGCCGCAGCTGTCGGGCTCAGGCTGCAGGGTCGGTGTCCGAGTCTGGACTCAACTGGCTCCTCGCCTCGGACCGGTTCCCAGGGCAGCTGCCATGGCCCCAGGGGTGACCCCGAGAGTGGCGGGTCCAGGAATGCTGGGTGGCTCTGATTCTGGGGGCTCTCTGCAAGGCACCCCACCCTCGGAGGCGCCATGGGGACTGGGGAAGGCGAGGGCTGGGGGCACCAGCTGGAACTCACCGCAGGCGTGTCAGAATGTCCAGCAGCTGCAGCCCTGGGAGGGACAGAGGGTCAGCAGGCTGGCCACACTGTTGCCCTGGTCACCTTCCCCTGCTCTCTCCTGGGCTTCCTGCCAGACACCCAGCCCAGGGGTGGAGGGGGCTCTGCGGCTCAGGTGCTGGGCACACAGGGGGCCCATCCTCCAGGGCTCGTGCCCAGGGTACCGAAGGTCCCATCCCGGAGGGAGCAGGAGTGCAGGGTGCTGGCCCCTGCTGTGGGCCCCAAGTGGGCATGGGGTGGGGGCAGGCGGGCCGGGCACCTATGAACTCGCTGCGCAGCTGGGTGCGGGCCCGCAGGTCCTCGGTGCCCAGGATGAGGGCATTGACCACACTGAGCAGGGTGACCACATAGGGCACGTTGTCGCTGTCGGCCAGCTCGGCCATGATGACGCTGAAGCGGTACTGCTGGCTGCACACCGTCTGGGGGGAACCAGGGCTCAGGGGGTGCCCCGCCGGCTGCCCTGCCCCCTCACCACCCCGCCCACCCCCGTATCCCACTCCCCTGCGCCCCTCACCTTGTAATGGTCCAGCGCGTCCAGGGCCAGGGCATGGCCCTCTGGGGAATAGATGCACAGGGCAGCCAGCAGCTCAAACACCTGCTTCTTGACCATCACATTGGATGTGTCCAGTGCTAGGGGGTGTGGGGGTATGTTGGGGTTACACCACGGGCAGGGGCTTCTCCTCTCTGCCGAACCCGAGACCCTCCTGTCTCAACGCTCGCATTTCAGCTGGGCAGCAGCGGGTGCTGGCAGAGGCCAGGGGTGCTCTGCTCTGCGCTGGCCCGCTGCCCGCAGGCACCGACCCGCCTGCCTGAGCCCTGCAGGACGCGCTCCCTCAAGCTCAGCTGTGCCACACAGCGGTGACGCCTCGGCGCCCTGGGACCCCTGCCCACCCCTCATGCCCTCAGCTGTGAACGTTTTGGGGGTGTCCAAAGGACTCCACCCACTCGTTCACCCCCACCCTTCAGGGCCACTAGAGCCCCAAGCATCAATGGGACACAGTCGGTGTCAAGGGACACAGTGACCACCGTCCCTGAAGGCCCCCCGGGGTCTCTCCCAAGGTTGAGGACTAACTGGATGCAGTCTGGGGAGACTTCCTGGGGGAGGTGACACTGAGCTGGAACCTAAAAGTTGAGCAAGACTGCAGGCAGCAGCTGAGCGGGAGGAGCGAGGGGCCGGGGCCGGGCAGGTGGCGGCAAAGTCGCCAAGGCCAGGGCCGATGTCCCGCAAAGGTGAGGGCTCCGAGCCAGTCAGAGCGCAAGCAGGGCCATGGGGATGGGGGTGGGGGGGGACTGCAGGGGGCAGTGTGGCCCAGCGGGTGGGGCTTGCGGCCCCAAGTCTCCCCCCAGATCGCAGTGGGCGAGTGGGCAGCCGGGCCCTCCCCAGGCCCCCAGGGGCTCACCCAGGGAGAGCTGGCGCACGTAGGCCTGGTTGCCCAGGATGTAGCCCATGCCGGGGCGGGAGTTCATGACAGCGCGCACGCAGCCGACACACGTGAGCTGCAGCAGCGCGTCTGCGATGCGTGCCACCCCGCGGCCCGACAAGCGTGCCAGGGCCTCGAGCAGCAGGTCCAGGCCACTCTGCTCCAGGAACTGCACCATCCAGCTGCCGTCGCTGCTCTCCAGACGCTTGCGTAGCCCCGAGTAGTTGACCACAGAGGGCACCTGCAGCAGCCGCACGCACAGCTCGGGCTCGGCGCTCTCCAGGTTGGCCTCCGCGGGGTCCCCCTCCTGCGGCCCCAGCTTCTCCTTCAGCGCCGCCCACTTGCGCTGCGCGCCCTCCTTCACCGACATCTTGTCAAGCTGAGCTGTGGGCACAGGGAATGTCAGTGGCTGCCCTGGGTGGGGCCCAGCTCCTGCCACTCCACTGGTGGCCCCGACAGTAGGCAGCCCCCCTAGTGGGAAAGCACCCGGTCTCTGCTGACATCCACCCTACCCGGTCGCCACAGAAACTGAGGGGCGGGCCTGAGGGGGCCACACTGGCAGGAACACCACTGGCCCAGAGTCCCTGGGCCCCTGCCTGGTCCCAGCACACCAGCGCACGGGGCCACAGGGCACCACGGGCAGGAGCCATGTGTACAGGAGTGTGGCCAGGAGGGGCTGGCTCCAGTCCCAGCGAGACCAGGCCAGGGGAGCAGCCCCTGGGGGTGGAGGTGTTCTCTGCCTGCGAGGAGGGCGGGGTCTCAGCAGCTGAGAAGGGCAATGTGGACCCATGGGGGAGGCCCTCGTCCTGGTGCAGCCCCCCTCACCCTGCACACCACCACCGCCCTGGATGCTGCCAGGCAAAGGCCTTGGGCTAGCCCTCCCTGCCCCGCCCACTGGCCCTCGTCCCTGTCTCCTGGGCGGAGTGGACTTTCCCAGGCCAGGCTCTAGCCTCCAAGTGTCCTCTCCAGCCAGGAACCCCAGGGCTCCCGGGCGCATAGACAGCCTCCAGGCTCTGCCTGGCCCTCCATGTGACCCCCTGTCCCCAGGGCCATGGGCAGTGAGAGGGGTGACCAGAGCAGGGTGAGGCCCTGCCTGCATGCCTGGCCAACGGCGGTCCCCCGTCCGCCTGGAGCTGAGCTGCACAGCCAGCCCTGCCCACGGGTGCTGTGTGGGGCAGCAAGAGGACACAGGGCTGGGCTGGCTCTGGCCCGGGTCCCAGGGGGCATCTGGCCAGGAGAGCCGGTTCAGCTGGGCCCGGTGGCTGAGCTACCCACAGGTGGGCCGGGAGTTGCCAGGTGCGCCGGGCTGGCCCCAGCCGTCTTCCTGGAAACGTCCCAGCTGCCTCCCGATGAGCTGGGCCATCTGAAGGCGAGCAGGCAGGTGTGCACCTGCGGCTGCCTGCACGCAGTGCCCGCCGGGGGCCTCCTGGGAGTCGGGTTGGCCCCGCCCTGGGGGTCTCCGAACAGAAGCCCCACCTGCAACAAGCCGCCCGAGCAGCCGGGCCAGAACCGAGGGTGCCAGCTCTCAGCCACTGTGCTGGCGGCCACCTAGAGCCCCCAACACGAGTAGCTCCCCAGAGTCAGTCTGGGGCCCCTGGGCCAGGGCAGGTGTGTGGCCACAGGGGCACAGGCCGTGAGCCCCCAGCCTCACCCTCCCTGCAGCCGGCTTGCAAGCCCGAGCTGGGGGCAGCTGGCCGGTCCCCGGTCCCCGTGGCCGGTCCCTGCGGCAGTGGCTGCACACTGTGCCCGCCTGAGCAGGGCGCCATCACACTGCAGGGTCTGGGGCTGCCAGGACGCCTTCCTGACAATCCCGGCTGGCGTGGGCGCCGCGGGGAGCCTCATCCTGGGCCCAAGCTGGAGTGGGGGACCCTCCTGGGGGGGGGCCTCCCCCTCTGCTCTCCAGCAGCTGGGTGTCTCCGCGGGAACCTGTCCCCCGTGGGCACCGTGCGACGGCTCAGGGGCGCTGCTGGCTGCGGTAGTGCTGTCCACGGCCCCGCAGCCCTCCCGTTCCAGGCCCCCTTAGCCCTGCCAGCCTGTGGGTCCAGCTGCCAGGCCAGGGGCCAGGGGCCAGGGGCCAGGGTGGGGGCCCTGCCGCCTGGAATGTGCGCGCGCTGCCGCGGGGCGGGGCCTCGGCGGGGCGGGGCCTCGGCGGGGCGGGGCCTCGGCGGGGCGGGGCCTCGGCGGGGCGGGGCCTCGGCGGGGCGGGGCCTCGGCCTGGAATGTGCTCGGCGCCCCGCGGGGCGTGGCCCTGGCGGGGGCGCGGCCTCCCCGGGCGGGGCCGCTCCCAGGAATGCGCCCGGCTCCGGCTCCGGATGGCCGCGACCTGCGCTCGGGGCTGTTTTGCAGCCGCCGCCCACCGCAGAAGCCGCGCGGGGCCGGGCCCTCCCGCCGCCCAGGGGTGGGGGAGCCTCGCGTCCCTTCCCCCCGCCCTCCCCGCCCCCGCGCTGCCACAGTGGGCAGGGAGGGCCTGTCACCCCAGTGTCTGGCACGGGTGGGGTCTCCCAAGGGTCCTGGTGCTCACTTTTGCACACCAACACCGAGGGGCCCCCCGCAGCGCCATGCCTCTCCCTCCGCCGGGCTCCCGAGGCGGGTCTCCCTGGGCGCTCTGCCAGCCGTCCCCGACGGGGCCAGGCTCCGATCACCCACCCAGCCCACACCAGCGCCGCCCAGGGCCTGAGCAGTCGGCCAGCGGCCCCCGGCCCCTCGCCCGCCTCCCTCCTGCCCGCGCCTGGCGACACCAGCCTCTCCGGGCCCCACGTCCGCGGCCCCCACGTCCCCGGCTGCCGGGCTGACTCACTGAGGCGCTGCCCCGCCTGGCCAAGCCGAGTGGGCGTGGGGGGCAGGTCAAAGCCGACCCCTTCCCTGTCCCCAGACCTCAGAGGCCAGGCCCTGGTGCGGATGGGGAACTGCGCCCCGATGGCGAGGCCCCCCGCAGGGCACTGGCCGCCCAGCTGTCCTGGGCGTGGATGTCCAGTGGTGTCGTGGGTGGGTGAGCCCAGACGGGGGAGGGCAGGGCCCTGTGGGGGTGGCTGCCGCTTCTGTTCCTGGACCAATTTCTGCAGTGGCTTGAAGAGGCCCAGGGACTGGGGGCTCTAGGGGAAGCCCCGGGGCGAGGCTACCGGGCAGGCGCAGCAAGCAGGGCGCCGGATGGGGGCAGCTGCCTGGGGTGGGAGGCAGCCTCGGGGTGGCCCTGCCAGTGTCAGCACAGGGGCTGGGAGCTGCTGGGCTGGAGCCGGGCTGGGGGCGGGTGCGAGGAGGGAGCTTGTCTTCCACAGGGTGGGCGGGTAGCGCGGCAGGAGCGGGATCCCGGAACTGGGAGGCAGGGGCTGCCACACGGTATTTTTAGCTCCTGCAGGAACCCAAATTTTTCCACTGCCTGGCAACCCTTGGATCGTGTTCCTGGCAGCTCCCCGAAGCTCGGGGCAGCCTGGCCCTGTGTGGTGGGGGAGCCCCTGGAACTGACACCGCCCCAGTGTGGACCCCATCACCGTCACCCCGAGCTCCAGCATGTGTCACCTCCCCCCCAGGTCGCTGGCCTCATAGGTGGTTGACTGACCTGTGTGGTCACCTGCCATAGGCCCGTCCCAGGCTGTGCACAGGGGGCCTTGGGGAAGGGGGAGAGCCGCGAGTCAGCCCATCACCCGCCTGTCCAGTGTCCCCTGGCCTCCCCAGTCCAGGCAGCATGCTAGCCACAGCCGCCCACAGCTCCGGCTGGATGCCCTGATGTGTGAGGGTGCCCAGCCCGGGTCGGAGGGACCCACCTCAGTCACAGCAGCGTCAAAGCAGAGCGCGAGGGGTGCTCCTTGTCCCGGGGGTTCTAAGTACATGAGCCACGCCTTGTGGGCCGTGCCAGATGCATCTGGGGTGAAAACGGCCATTTTCACAATTGGGGAAGAGAAAGTACCAGAGAGCAGGAGACCACAGGGGCGCCGAGGGCGGGGACCCCAGGTCGCGGGTGGGAAGGGCAGGGTGGCAGCCCGGCCTCGCACGGGCGGAGCCCCAGGGTGGAGATGGGGCCAGGCCAGGCCCACCACATGCGCAGGATCCACAGGCAGGTGGCGTGAGGTTGCCCAGGCCACGCATCCCCCCCCCCCCAGGGAATTCAGAGAGGATGGGGAGGTGGGGACTCAGGGCAACAGGAAGTGCCCTCACTGGGGGGAAGCCCCGGCTCAGCCTGCCCCTCGCCACGCGCTGGGTTCTGGGAATGGGGTCTGCCCTCCCCCAGAGGCTCAGCGGGCTCTGCGGGGGCCGGAAGGGCAGCAGGAAGGGCGGCAGCGCCGAGCAGGAAGCAGCTTTCGCTGCCACCTGAGGATTCACAGGCTGGGCTCTCATTTCTCCTTCTCTCAGTTCATCTCCCGGCCTCGGTCTCCCTGGCCCCACAGAGCACGGTCGATGGGGAGCCCCGAGGACTGGCCACCCCAGGAGCTCCCAGGGTGCTGCCTGGAGCTGGGCCGTGGCGGGTGGGGTAGGGGCCGCCTCCCTGGCAGGACCGCAGGCCCCAGGCTGACAGCGGGCCCCCTCTGCACAGGCCATTGCCCGGCCACGGCTCCTGCCTGCCGGGGCCCCGCTGGGCTGACCCCCTCGGGCTCGCCACCAGAATGCCCCCCGCCTGCCCGGCCCCTAGACCTGCGCCCTGCTGCACGACACCGCTGCGGGACAGGGAGAGAAAGGGGCTGGCCCGAGACACGACCCCAGGGCTGTGCGCTGGTCTAGGGCTCCAGGAGCTGGGCCCCATGAGGGAGGCCCATGGCCTGGCCTGAGGGTCCTGCCCGGCCCTGTCCTTCGTCCAGCCGGAGGCAGCTGGCCAGGAGCAGAACAGAGCAGCCGATTGACAGGCGTGGGGGGTGAAGCTGGCACAGCCCAGCACTGCCAGGGGCTGCTGCCAGGCCAGCCAGGCGCGGGGGCTGACCAGCTGTGCCCCTGGGGTCATGCACAGGCCCTCCCGGGCCTGGCCCTGTCCTCAAACCAGGACAAGCACATTCTTGCGAACACCAGGGCTGCTGAGGTGCAGCCCTCCCCCACCCCCTGCCCCGCCCCCGCTGCCAGGACCCCATGCCCCGCCCCCACCCCCTTGGCTGGTTGCCCGAACTGGGGTGGCATGTGCCTCTGCCTCCCGCAGTGTCCCCAGCCCCCTGGCCCCGGAGCCCAGTGGGTGGGCGAGCCAGCTCCGCCACCGGACAGGCCGCCCACCTTGCTCAGGAGTCTGGCTGCTCCCTGGGGACCTGGAGCCCTGGACGCCACTGGCCGCCAAGACCGCATGGGCAGCTCTCGCCTCCTCCCCGCGACCTCTGGGCCCCACCCCAGGGCTCCCAGGAGTAGCCACTGCGTCTGGGCGGGGCAGGCAGTGCCCACCCCCCGCGGGTGGTGGGTGAAGAGCAGACGTGGCCTCCAGCAGCGCAGGCGGCAGTGGGTAGTGCCGGGCTGCGCCGGGGCAGGCAGGGACATGGGGGCAGGGATGGTGGGGGAGGCAGGCTGCTCGCTGAGGCCACGTCCCTGGCCCAGGTGGGGAGCTGAGGCCCCACACCCGGCCGGCCAGGGTCCAGGCGGCAGCCAGTCCTTGTCCACGAGCACCTGGAGGCCAGGCCGAGGTAAGGGATGAGACCCGCCGCCCCGCCGGGGAGGACTGTGGGGGGCTGCGCGTGGGCGGGGCAGGTAGGGGCAGAGCAGCAGAGGCGGCGCAGAGGGGCCGTAGGCCGTGGGTGCAGCTGGGACCAGGCCCGGCTGTCCCCCCATGTGCCAGGCCTTGACGTCCGTCTCAGCGGCGCCATCTGCAAAACTCAGAGAACCCGCCTCCTCCCCACATGTGCCCCTGCTGGCCTCCCACCTGGCTGCACTGTGGCCCCCATGCCCCAGCCTCCCACGGCGCCCCGCCTTCCCTGAGGGTCGATCCTCCTGTCCAGCTCCCATCCTCCAGCCCACTGGGGCCCTGGGATGCAGAAGGGTGCAGCAAGGAGGGACAGGGGCGGCAGTGAGCAGCCCCGCCAGGCCCAGGAGCAGCTGGGAAGGCTGCAGGGGAGGGGCTGGGGGACAGCTCAGAGAGGCCAGGCCTGGGCCCTGGGCACTCTGTCCCAGGCAGCTCTGGGAGGGGCCTGTGTCGGCCACCCCCAGCCTTAAAGGAGGGCAGCCCCGGGCTGTCGCAGGGCGGCTGGTGCATCCAAGGGAGCCCAGATGACGCTCGGCATGGGAGAGGCCAGGAAGCGGCCAGTTCCCAGCAGAAGGGACCCGAACACCCCCCACCCCACTTCCTGTTTCTCGGCACCAGCGGGGCTGCTGCAGGGGGCAGCAGTGGCCCCCCTCCCTGGCAGGGTCAGGCCCTCCCTGGCTGGCTGCCTGGCGCGGCGGTCGCCCTGGCATAGTGCTGGGCAGCTGCAGTGGGCCCTCGAGGCTCAGGATGTGGCTGTCTGAGCCCAAGCCGGGCAACCCCCCTCACCGTGGCCTGGGCAGCGGTGCCCAAGAGAACAGGGCTGCGCCCACGCTCACACCCCACAGGCCTGCGCCAGGGGCTGAAATGGGGTCTCCCTAGCAGGTGGTGTCCCCCAGGCTGGGCCCTGCCGTGACCCCTGGGGACAGCCCCAGGGACCACTTCCTGCCTGGACTTGACCCCCAGCCCTCCTGGTCTGTGTCCCCAACTCACCCCTGTGTCCACTGTTCTGGGCCAGGGGCCTCTCCGATCCACAATGCCCACTGGCAACTATTCGACCCCACCGTGGACAGAGGTGGGCAGGCGCAGGTGGGCTGCCCTCATGCTGGCCCCTTGGCCTTGGGTCCTCTCTGGGTGTCCTCGAAGGCCAGGCCGAGCTCCTGAAGGAGGCCGGCCCGTGTGGGGTGCCGCTGGCCGGGCGGCTCCCAGCCCTCCCAACCTGGGAGCAGTCGTACTTGGGGAGCCCACGGAGTCTATTTAAGGCAGGAGCGGAGCTTCCTGGTCCCGAATGTGAAGTGTGTGCAATTAGCTAGACAGCCGTCAGCACCTCCACGAAGTGGGGGCTCACCTGGGTTAACCCTTCGCTGTGCGGCTGACGCGCAGACAGGCTGCGGGGAGGAGGGAGCGGGAGGCCAGCCCCGCCTGGCCCCAAGGCCGTCCCCCCCAGGGCAGGCACTCGGGTCAGGGGCAGGGCGGTGGCCGCAGGGCCCGAGGCACCACCCAGCGTGGGCGACGGCCGGCTGCGGGCTGGGGCGGGGCTGGGGCCGGGGTGCAGGTGTCCGCCGCCCTGAGGCTTGGGAGGGCGCCCTGCGCCCCTCTGTGCACGTGGGGAAACTGAGGTGCAGAGAATCCAGGGTCCGGTCTGGGGTGCCCAGAGGCCCAGGGGGTGGGGCAGGGGGGAGGGACCGTCCCTCCTCCAGGGCGCTGACCCCTGGCCTGCTCCCGGTCCTGACCCCTGGCCCTGTTCCCGGTCCTGACCCCTGGCCTGCTCCCGGTCCTGACCCCTGGCCTGCTCCCGGTCCTGGCCGCAGGGTCAGGTGCTGTGGCTCTGCCGCCTGGTGTGTCCGGCCGGGGCGGAGCAGGGTCCGGCCGCGCAGCCGACGGGGCGGGTGACGGGGCCGCGGCCCGGGCAGGGCAGTCACTGCGGGCCCTGGGCCTCCTGAGGCGAGGCCACCCCGGGGTCCCTCACGGCAGGGGGCTCCCGAGATGGGTCTTGGGGAGCGCAGGAACGCCTCGTGCCCGGGCAGCGGCGCAGCGCGGGGGCTGCTCCCCAAGGCCGGGGACCCGCCCTCCGCCCGCGGGGGCGGCCTCGGCCCCAGCCTCGCCGGCCGGGCGCCCCGAGTTGCAGCTCATCTTCCCGCCGCGGCTCGCGGAGGGCGCGGGCGGGCGTCCGGGCGGCGGGCGGGTGGGGCGGAGGGGCCGGCGCCCCGGGGCGCCCCAGCCTCAGTGTCCCCGGCGGGCGCGGGCGCGGGCGGGACTCACCGCGGCGGGCGCGGGCGGGCGGCGGCGGCGGGCTCGGGCGGCGGCGGGGCTCGGGCGGGCGGCGGGGCTCGGGCGGCGGCGGGGCTCGGGCGGGCGGGCGGCGGGCTCGGCGCCGGGTCTGCGCGGGGACCGGGCGGCGCCGCGGGCCACGTGGGAGGCGGGAGGGAGGAGCCGGCGCCGTCGGGATCCGCGGCTCCGGGACCCTGCGCGGGGCGGGGCGCTGCGCGGATCCTCGGGACCCCGGCCTCGCCTCGAGGTCCCGCGCGCTGGCCCCCCCGCACCCCCGCCCTCCCCGCCCTCCCCGGCAGGCGGGGCCCGGCCCTTCCCGGGGCCGCCGCCCTTCCTGGCGCGGCTCCGCCCCCGGCGGGTCGGCCGCCCCTCGAGCAGCCCCTCGGCCCTGACCCCTCGGCCCTGACCCCTCGGCCCTGGCCGCCCCAGAAGTGGGGTCCGGGTGGCCCCTGGGCGGCCTGGATCCTGCTGGGCGGTGCAGGCCGCGGCCCGGGGCGCCCCGATGCCCCCGTTGCCCACCCCGGGCGGTGGAGGCCGCCGGCAGCGCGGGTCTGGGGGAGACCCCCCGGGGTCCACGGCGGGGCCTGCGGGGGGAGCCCCGAGCCCCTGAGGCCGCCCGGGGAAGGATGAGGACGGGCGTGGCGCCCCGCCCGGCGGCCTTGTCTGGACACGTCCCTGGAGAGCAGCGGGCGGCGCGGGCTCCGGGCCTGGGCAGGGCCGAGGTGCTGGACCGAGACCCTCCGGGGCCCCAGCCCCGCCCGCCTCCTGCCCGGGGCCAGCACCTGCGCCCGGGCAGCGCGTCTTTCCGTCGCTGGCCTTGGGCTGGCCGTAGGGCCGCGGCACCGCAGCGGAGAGAGGCTCCGGGTGTGGCCGCCTGGACGCCCCGCAGCCGCCCTGCCCCTGTTGTCCACCCTGCGCCCGGGGGGGCTTCCTCCTGGGGCCTTCCTGCCCCCCCGCCCTGCTTTCGGGGGTCTCGGGGCTGCTCCTCACAGTGGGGCAGGAAGGCCGCTGGCCACTGCTGCCTCTGGACCGCGGGGCGCGTGTCAGCGCCTGTGCTGGTTGATCTGGGGGTGCTGGGAAGCAGGGGAAGGTGGGGCATTGTCTCCGCCCTCCCCTGGCTGGAAGGAC